TCTTAATTTTCTTATTCTTCCACAACAAAGCTGGAGTTTGCTCAGTGAGGGAGCTCTGGTGGGAAAAGAATGCGGACAGAGGAGAAATGGATGTGAAATATGGGGTAGCAATCAGACAATAAGTGTTTGCTTTTTACTGTTTTAAGGCATGTGTGCCATAATAGCTGAAAATAGTGCTATCCCCTAAAGCAGACTTCTTGATTTCTCTTAGGTTTTTTTTTTTGCTTGGTTACATGATTATTTTTTCCAGAGAGGTTTTAGCTAGTTTTTCAAAAACTAAAAATAGAGGTCTGGATTTAGAGGTTATTCTGACTTTTCCTATTCCTGGTTTATAGGACTTTATTTTTTTTTTCAAATCTTATGTTACTCTCTTTGAGCAAAGCAAAGGCTCATTATGCAACAAGGATCTCTTGTTTTTAGAGAATATTGTGACTGAGTTAAATTTGATTCCTATTGTGCTGTTTTTGGAAAGATGATGGGAGCTGCAGATTTTTTTTTTAACAAAGGCATAAACAGATATGCCCTGCCCACTTGCAGAGGCTGCCTTAAATCAGGTAGCTCACAGTCAGATGAAAAATCTTGCATGTACTACTAAACCAGCTGTATTTTATGTAGATGATCCTTCAACATATTGCCCTGAGAACGTTTGCTTAATATACTGGGGTTTTAAATATTAAAAAAAAAAAATTAAGGCTTTTGCTTGCTGATATTCATGAGCCCTGTGACCGAGGAAAAACTGACATTAAGAAAAGGCCACAGTGGAACTTGAGTATTAATGTGAAAGTAGCAAATAGTTTTTAAAAAAACTTATATAAAGGAGAAATTTAAGGGGAAAACAGTGATAGTTCATTGTGGTTTTCAATATTTTCTTAAGCAAATGTTTACCTCTCATGGGCTGAACTAGTTTGTTTTTGAAGTCCTGTAACCTTGTACAGTGAGGGAGCCAAGTGATGTTACCACAAACTGCACTGCAATTCATCTGTGTTTAATACACTGCTTTAGGCAGCATTAAATTTGTGCTTTCAGATATCTAAGCACAAAGTTTTACTATTAATGAGTTGTATGCACCAAACCCAGAGTAAAAACTGGTTTTAAATTTTTCAAGCATGGATGATGACATGGATTTTATGTCAACCAGACTTCTGCTCTTATTCTCTTACAAGTATAAGCTGCAGTATAAAATATTTTTATAACAAAACCATCTGGTTCTTGTAACTGAATTAGTCATTTAGGTTGGAAAATACCTCTGAGATCATTAAGACCAACCATTAACCCAGCACTACCAAGTCCACCATGTCCCCTAGTGCCACATCTACAGCTCTTTTAAACACTTCCAGGGGTGTGACCCAACCACCTTCATGTTCCAGTGCCTGACCACCCTTTCAGTGAGAAATTTTTTCCTCATATCCAATCTAAACCTCCCTTGGCACAGCTTGAGGCTGTTTGCTCTTGTCCTGTCCCTTGTTCCCTGGGAGCAGAGCCTGACCCCCATGTGGCTACATCCTCCTGTCAGGGAGTTGTTGGAAGTGGTAAGGTCCCTCCTGAGCCTCCTCCAGGCTGAGCCCCCAGAGCTCCCTCAGCTGCTCCTCATAGGACTTGTGCTCCAGACCCTTGCCCAGCTCCGTTCCCTTCTCTGGACACCCTCCAGCCCCTCAATGTCCTTGTAGTGAGGGGCCCAGAACTGGACACAGGATTTGAGGTGTGGCCTCACCAGTGCCCAGCACAGGGGGACAATCCCTGCCCTGGTCCTGCTGCCACACTATTCCTGATCCAGGCCAGGATGCCCTTGGCCTTCTTGCCCACCTGGGCACACATTGGCTCACGTTCAGCCTCTGCCAACCAATTTGTGGCTTTACTTGTGCACAGTTTGGCTCTAATACTAATTTCAGTTTACTGGCGTAGTATTTAGTATTTAAATTTGCATGACACCAAAACTTCCATGCTGGTTATTTTTAGCTCCCTCTCTGTTAGAGACAAGTCACTGATGTTGCCACACTGATTTAGAAATGGGAGCATGTCCACAGTCACAAATCAGCTGCTTTAAATGAGAGTATTTTGAGCTGCATTTGGTGATTGTGTAGGCTTCATTCCTGTGTGTGCTGATAATGAGCTGAGTTCTTCTCTAGACAAGTGATGCAAATTCATGAAATTAGTCATTGGAGGTATTCCAGCTGCTCTTCTCTTTAAGGGAGAACCTGCTCTTGGAACCTGCAGAGTTTGAGGAGTATTGCTTGCAAGTCCCATCGGACTGTGTGTATAAACCTATCCATAATTGCACATGTGCACACATTATTTTTTCAAACTCTGATTGCACTAACTCCTTAGTTTAACACCAATGACTTCAGCTAAGCATGCTTTTTCATAGTGTTTAAACAACTGAGACATTCATTTTACCCTGCAGGCTATTTTGGGAACAGAGCAAGTACAGATACAGATTCTTATGATTTTTCTTCAACAGTTTTATCAAATCAGCTGCTAAGGGAAGCAATGCAGAAAATCAATAAACTAACACTATTTCAGAGTATGAAATGAAATGAAAAAAAATGTCTGCAGCTAAATATATTTTTCCACAGGAAAAACAGTATTTTAGTTGCTAAAAATGGCTTAACTGCTCTCAAATAGAGTGTAGATATCTAGGAAAACAGAGAAGTAGTAATTTGAATTTCAATATAATTTACTACCTGATCAGCCTTTAAGGATAATGGAATTTACAAGGATAATAAAAATTTCTGTCAAAAGGAAAAGCCAAAGGAAGGCTTTGCATTAGAGCAAAACACCTTTTCACTCCCATACTTCATTGTTTTCCTGTTCTGAGACTGTGTGAGGTTATCTCCCGACTTAACCTGGCTGGACAACAAGCATACATGGCTAAATCTATTCTGCAAAGTAAATATAACATAGTAGCTCTAGTAGAGAAAAACAACTAAAGAATCTGTTTTCTCTTGATTTTTAGGGCTGAGGAAAATATCTGTTCCTGTTGTATAGTTTTGTGAAATTAATTGATTGAAGGCATGCTAAAAGAGAATACTTGTTTGATAATTATGTGGAGTGTTCTTTTAGGCATTTCAATATTTACAGCAGGCCTATTTGCTGGATAGATTTAGAAGTTTTGTTACAACTCTGAAAGATATAACTTTTTTCCCAAATATAATTACTAAATCATGAAGTGCTTTTCTAGCAAAGGGTTGGCTGTGAACTCAAACTCCCCACAGATAATATCTTTTTTGGAAAGTCTGAATGAGTTTTATGAACCTGTGCTGTAGCAGCCTCTGACTTTGTTCCTGTGAGATACATCAGAACACCAAGATAGTACTGTCCCACAGGTTTAACTTTGGAGAAGAGATGCTTTCAGATTGCTGTGGTGTGTCACTTTGAAACAAAATACACCTCAGCTCAGGGCTAACTTTAAAATGCAAGTGAACTGCTTCACTGACTCCAAATTTTGTTGTTTTCAGGGTCTTTGTGATGAACTTGCTCTGGTTGATGTTGTGGAAGACAGACTAAAAGGAGAAATGATGGACCTACAGCATGGGAGCTTGTTCCTTCACACTCACAAGATTGTGGCAGACAAAGGTGAACCTTTAATACTGACATTCTATGACTTTGCTTGATAGTGGAGAATTAGTTGTGTAATCCTAAAGAATTCAAAGAATTTGGCATTGAAAAAGTGTATGAATTGGGGTGAGAGTTTGGATGAACACCATAGCAGTGGGAGTAGTTTTTAATCTGGGCTTTCTCTTACATCTCTAATGGCCACTTTACAGTTTGGAGCTTGTTTAGTAAAACTGATTTTAATGAAGCTATAGTACCTCTTTGTAGAAGAAATAATGTGATTTGGAAAGTGGAAGTGAGATTTGGGTGGTTGAAGGTGCTCTCCAGACCCATATATGTTGATACCTAAATTGGACAATGTTAAAGAGGTGGTACTGGATTTAATATTGATGTCTCCTGGTTTTGGGTTTGAATGGAATGCACAGTGGAGAAGCTGCCTGTAACACTGTATGAACACAGTGCTGTTGAAATGAGTGACAAGTGTATTTAACACATTCTGTATCTCCCCCCCTGTGCTCTGGTGTAGATTACAAGGTGACAGCCAACTCCAAGATCGTGATCCTGACTGCGGGCGTTCGTCAGCAAGAGGGGGAGAGTCGCCTCAACCTGGTCCAGAGGAATGTGAACGTCTTCAAATTCATCGTTCCTCAGGTTGTGAAGCACAGCCCCAACTGCATCATCATCGTGGTTTCCAATCCAGGCAAGGCAGTCTTTTCTGAAACCCTTAAAACTTCGGTTTGATAAAACACAACATTCATTCTCTGACAGTCTTTTCAAATACAAATTGAAGGTTAATAGCTTTTTGTGGACATCTGCCAGGTAGTGGCCAACAACAGAATACAAACAAATATCCTGTACATTCTGCTGCTCTCTTTATCCAGAACTTGTCATGGTGTCCTTATCTTAAAAGAATGCTTTATGGTAAATACTTCAGTTCTTTACATACTTTGGCTTAAGCAGTTGGTAGTTTAAAACTTTTATTTCTAAAGGATAACTTTTGTGTCTGGATGCAATACAGCCACTTTTCAGGATGAAGAACTTGTCCTATATTCTATATTTTCAGGAAAAAGAATTTGATGCTGAAGCCTATGGTGGAACAAGGGCTAACTGTAGTACAACTGTAGTGCAGTTGGATTAGAAAAGACTTAGTTATAACTGATTACACATATTTGTGTGCTCACTTGCAAGTACCTCATTGCACTGAGGCAATTGGATATTTGGATGTCCAAAGCTAACTGTAAACATTCTGATGTGCTTTGTGGGGTGTCCCTGTAGGGTTGTCTTTGCTTGACTCAACATCTGAGTGAGGCCAGCGCTACAGGACCCTGGTGGTGAAGTAACACTGCTTTTAGAGAGAACTTTACAGAGTGGAAACAGTGCATGCAAAGCTGGCAGCTCAACTGGGGGTTGAGTAATTAGCTGGTGTTCAATTACTCCTACTGAATACCAGTGTTCTGAGCAAGTGCCTACTGTGCAAGTACAATAACTTAGGGCAGTTTTAAACACTTATCAAAAAATCAAATTGTGACAAAGATCAACTTGTTCTTGTTCTAGCAGGGCCGGATTCAATCTATAGACTTCTCTCCAGTGGAGCAGCTGCTGGAGGAGAATTGCATGTTGCTTTTGCAGAATTATTTTTATAACCCTTTGTTTTCTCAATGTGTGGAGTTTTGTCCACTAGTCTTATATAGTGGAAGTTATTGTGAGCTCATTAGAAGGGACTTTAGTGACTTGGAAAGCCAGACAGCCTGGAGCTCATGGACAGGGAGGTGCTCTGTAGTCTGTACAAGTTACTGTGATCCTGGCAGGAACAGCCCCAGCTGAAGCTATGGGAAGAAAGCTGTGCCTGATGAACATGTCAAGGAGGTGTGAACTGTGCTGAGATGATGTGCTTTTTGTGCCTGAGCAGAGCAAATGATGTATTTCAGATCTGTATGCACAAATGTGTTCCCTCCTGAGAACTGGCTGGCTCCTGATTGTTGGAGTCATAATTAACTGCAGCCTGTTTATTATTGTTGCTTTGACCTGTTGATTAGAGGTTTTCTCTTTACTCACATCCTTCTGTCTGCCCCACCTAGCTTTGTGTTTTTTCTAAAGCTTTGTTTTTGGAGACATGCAACTAAAGCATATTGGTAGTAAATGCAGAAACTGCTTAATGCACAAATCAAGAAGTTGAACTGAAGTAATTACCAACTACAAAGAGTGTGCAAATCTCAAACTTTTCACTGTGAATTGTTTTACCTGTTGTTGTGATGATGAACTAGAAGGTAATATTACTTCAGGAAATTACTTGAGTGTTTTAGCCACATGAGATCAGTCCCAGTTCTGAGTGCCCTGGGGGTTTAACTGTGACAAAAAAATGTGTAGGAATCTAATCTCCAAAGATCTTACTCAAATTTTTTTAGGACCTATCAAGCTACTGTTCAAAAAATCTCAAGCAGTGCATTAATTTTAAATCCCCCAAATAGTCAGACCCAAAATACTTTGACCAATGAGCACAGCTGTGTTTTGAGCCCTCCTGATTGCCCTACTACTTGCAGTAAAGTAATTGCTGGAGCATTCTTGATGTGAGTGGTTTAATTTACTGTGCATGTTTTTCCTTGCAGTGGATATCTTGACCTATGTCACATGGAAGCTGAGTGGCCTGCCAAAAAACCGTGTGATTGGAAGTGGCTGCAACCTCGACACGGCCAGATTTCGCTATCTGATGTCCGAGAGGCTTGGGATTCATCCAAGCAGCTGCCATGGCTGGATCTTGGGAGAGCACGGTGATTCCAGTGGTAAGGAGCAATTCTGACCTCTTTGGGAACAAGCAGTAGAGTGTTAGAGGTTGAGGTCTAAGGGTGTTACAAAACTGAAGGAACAGATGCAGCTCCGCTCGAGTTACTGGCACTTAGCTGTGGTTTTATGAAGATTTGAGTTGAGACAAGTCCAGGAAATGAGAGAATTGGGATTGTTCAGCCTGGAGAAGAGAAAGCTTCAGGATCACCCAACTGTGGCCTTCCAGTACCTGAAGGGAGCCTACAGGATAGGTAGAGAGAGGCTACTTACAAGGGCCTGGAGTGACAGGACAAGGGGGAATGGCTTCAAACTGCCAGAGAGTAGGGTTAGATTGGATATTGGGAAGAAATTCTTCCCTGTGAGGGTGGTGAGGCCCTGGCACAGGTTGCCCAGAGAAGCCATGGCTGCCTCATTGCAGGGGATTGGAATGAGATGATCTTTAAAGTCCTTTCCAACCCAAACCATCCTGTGATCCTGTGAAATGTAGCTGCACATATTTAGTAATTAAACCCTTAACTGAAAAGGCCCATTTTGTGAGCTCAAGTTGTGTCCTAAAGGCTACAGCTTAGTACTTTTCTTTATCCTCAGTTTTTGGAGTACCATAACAGCCTGTAGCATAGTTCTCCTCTGAAAGCAGTGTCAGCTCCTTTTAAGTCAAAGGCAGAGCTTGTTAGAGGTAACAGAAAACTTGGCAATCCAGGCTCAGGCTAACAAAATTATCCCTTACCTTATTTCTTAACTTTTCTCTGTGATATTTAAAAGATGGTTTCAAACACATATAAAATCAAAGAAACACATCTGTCTTAATTCAGCTCATGTATTTAAAGTCTGAAATGATGCAGCAGAATATGTGTGTGCATTGGTACTGCTTCATATATTCTAGGGGAGCCACCTCTTCAGTGTCCCATTGCATTTGATCAGCCCTACCCTAGTGAAAGCACAGTTTGGCTGAGCTTACACAGAGCTCATCCTGCATCAGTTTTTGCTTTGAAGTAACTCAGAATTCCTAGTTACTTCACAGGAACAGAGGATGAACCTGCCTGTAAGCTTCCAGTATGAAGAGAGGTGCAAATTCCTCTCTTGATATTTTTAGTTTGTATATTGCTACCCTCTTACTTATGTAAATAAGAACAGGTTTCTTGAAGGCTGAACCTAACACTGATTAGTGAAACAGCAAATACATCCTTGCTGCAGTTTTGAGCAGAATGAGTTTTAAAAGGCTGAACAGCTAAGATGTGCCTTTTTGATAGAATTTGAGGTTTCTGACTTCAGAGAGGGCTGTCTGCACCTTCCAAGGTCTCAAAGTTCTGCTGTCGTGTGTTACAATCAACACGTTAAAGTGCCAGTACTAAAATAGTCTCACAATTGACACCCAGAGTTGTCAGCATTAACTGCAGCTAAATGAAAACTGCAAATCTGCCTCAAACATTATTGTGGTTCTGGCTGCTGCTACTTATGGTTCCAATTGTTTTAGGTAGGAAAAAGTGAATGGGGAGTTGCAAAGTGCTATTGAAACTTCTGTCCTCCCTCTGTTCCAGTGGCTGTTTGGAGCGGAATTAACGTGGCAGGGGTTTGTCTCCAGCAGCTGAATCCTGCCATGGGAACTGACAAAGACCCTGAGAACTGGAAGGAGGTCCACAAGAAAGTGGTTGACAGGTACAATGACCTGAGGAATAACACGGATATATGTGATGCTGAAAATAGCTTGTCTGCACAGTCTCTCCATTGTGCTGCAGCTTTCATGCCCTTTTATTTAGAGGGCTGCATGGATAAGTGGGACTGCTGGTTTAAACACAAAAATGCAGGATTTCAGCTGGTTATTTCATTATCCTGCAGCCAGACAAGCTGTTGCATAACATGCCCACTGAAGTACTGCAGAGCTTAGAGCTGTGTGTACTTGTTTTCTCTCATGGAGCTTCAAAGGGCACAAGACAGGGAAGGGCAGTGTGTTTCTGTGAGCAGTTGGAATGGGGGGAAATTTTGTTCATTGATGCAGGAAGATTTGTTCACATGTTGCTAAATGACTTGTCTCACTTGTGATATGAGTGTACTCTCCTGCACTATCTCCAGATGTTGGCTAAAAACACCAGGGGGTGTGTGTAGGTAGTGCATGGCTTCGATTCTAAATGTTTATCTATTCCAAATGCACTCAGAATGATTGTGTCACTGACTGAAATTGAGAATTTATTAGGTGTAGGTGTGCTTTTCTACCTAACACTAAGAACTCTTCCTAGATGGAAGCTGATTTTCTTTTCAGCTAATCCTGTGAGAACAACAGGGATTCTTAATTATACATATGGGAATATGTATACTTTATCTTCTAATGCTGAAACACATCACTCTCCTACTTTGATATTTTAATTCCAAAACTTAGAAAGTGTTGCAGGAGTTTAATTTTTTTTTTTAAATGGGAAACTTTCACTCCTCTTAAGACTTGTAAGTCACAGAGTGTCTTGAAGACATCTTAGTGCAATTGTCTTTCCATGTTTCCTTAGTGCCTATGAGGTGATCAAACTGAAGGGATACACAAACTGGGCTATTGGCCTTAGTGTTGCTGACCTCTGTGAGACCATGCTGAAGAACTTGCACAGGATTCATTCCATCTCAACACTGGTAAAGGTAAGAAGTGGTGGCTGATTGGATGCTCTAGTTCATTTTGTTGTTATCACAAGCTAAGTAGTCTCGGTAAGCAAGGGGCTGAACAAAGGAAGCTTTGTAAAACACTACTTTGAATTTAAAATGGGAGCTTACTCTTGCCATTCCTTCTAGGCTGACCTCTTAGCCAACTCCTCTCACAAGTATGGAGCTGAAAATAAGTTCTCTGTGCTACCCTTTTGTAAAGTTTGCCATTTGTGGCATGCACATTCATTGGAAGGAGGTTTTGGTGTAAAACTGGAAAACTTCATGGAGGCCCAGCTGCAATTCCATGAACCACTGCCTAGCAAAAGTCCTGGGGGGAGAACTGTGTCCTTTTATAGCTGGTGTAACTGGCTGCATCTAGTCTGGACTAGCTCTGTAACCCCTGGTGCAGCAAGGACTCTGAGCAGGTTGAGCTTACTGATGCCTCTGTAGCAGGAAGGATGACCTGCCCTAATCTGCATCTGAGTCTTGTCAGCTACTTGCTGTATAGAAATAAAAGTGAGAGGTTTGAAGAGCTTTGAAGGTAGGGTTTCTGCAATCAGCCATCTTGGCACTGCCAGACATTTGGTCCAAAACAGCTCTATGCTGTTTATTTTCTCAAATACACTGAGACTGAAATTCTTCTGCAGGCTGTAAAATGGTAGTTTTTAGCTCTGCTCTCAGGAGGCTTCCTGTTCTATAAACTAAATGCACATCTGGGGTGATGGGCTCATATCTGATCTCTTTTGTCTGTGGCAGGGCATGTATGGCATTGAGAATGACGTCTTCTTGAGCCTGCCTTCTGTCCTAAGTGCCTCTGGATTGACAAGTGTCATCAACCAAAAGCTGAAGGACGATGAGGTGACTCAGCTGAGGAAGAGCGCGGATACCCTGTGGAACATCCAGAAGGATATCAAAGATCTGTAACTCATGAATGCCAGATTCCAGCCATAGAAAACCAGCATGTTGTGTGCAGATATGGGCTCTACTCACTCTCCATCTCTAAAGTTAACATTAAATGCTCTTCCAGACGGTTCATGGTAGCTAAACTTACGCTTGCTGTAACGCACAAACCTGACGAACAAATAAAGTAATTTTCAGGCATGTTTTGTTGTCCTAGTGACTTATTTTGAGTATATAATTATCTAGCTTACTCTGGCATCCTCCTTTAATGTTTGCCACAGACTTACATGGAAGTGTAAGACTTGGCATGTCTTTTCAGAAGGTTAGAAATAATGTAGTAATAGCCTGTGGTGGGATTTCACTGACACCACCTTAGTGGAAGCCTTTTCTCAGTCCAAGTGCTGGCTAAGTGTAGTTCTTGTTTCTGATAGAGTAATTCCTATTTTTTTTACTGATGGGCAGAAGAAATGGAATGGGGATTTGCCTCTGAGCTGCCTGCCAAAAATATGCCAACAATAAGATTATGCTGGCTGGCCTAGAAGAGTCTTGTAGATACTTCTCTCTCCTGGGTTAAATTCTTTGCCTGTTAATGATACCTAGTTTCTATAAAGTGGAAAAAACAGGATTATTTTGTATTTGATAACCGAAATTCAAGGAGATTTTTTGGCATTAGGCTGGAGTCCATGGTGATAGTCTTGTTTATTAAACAATTCAAGTTGGGTCTTCAATCTCTAAATTTCAGCATGATTTTTTGAAGTGCTCATATACATGGAGAACAGTTGTAAAAAAAAATAAAGCCCAAAGATTATTTCTTAATCACAATTATGGACATTAACCATAGAATAGCCTGTATTTTCTTGGCATGCCTAGAACTGATCACTCTAGATGTCCAGGGGACAAACAGTATTAAATCTATCTTAAATCATAATTCAGGGGCTTGCAAGATTTTTTTTCATAACAAATGGTCTGAGACTAAGATGGAGCAATTTAAAGGACTTTTCTATCTCCATTAAAATGCTTTGCATAGTGGACTAAAAAAACTTTATAAGCAAGTAGCCTAATTTTTGTCATTCCTTCGAAATAGGTCACACAAGTTTTGTTCTATTGCAAGATAACTTCTGTGATTTAGTAAGTATCATGTAAAGTATCATGGAGCTACTAAAATACCATGCACGGGATGTTGCTGACAGCATTACTTACAAAGGGTATCCCAGGGAGGCCTTAGGAGATGTTTTATTCTCAGTGACAGGCTAAATAGCAGAATTCTTTGCCAATAAGAGATTGAAAATTGTAGTCTCTCTTTTCATAACTTGGTGTGGAGATCCAGGCTTTCCACCCCTGGATAGATTATCTTATAGTTCCTGCTGAGAACTGTTCATGATCAGCTGTTATGAGGTAAATGGCATAAAATGCTGCTCTTTGCAGGACACACCCATTAGGAATATTCACCTGAGCACATTTAGTACAGGAACCTTGTACAGTTCCTTCCTGGCTTTGTTCTTATGCTGTTCTCAGTTAATGAGGGAATTCAAAGCTATGCTGTGGGACAGTCTTGCAGGATTCTGGAGAGTGATGTGCATGAAGAGGCATTGGTTGCCTTGGAGGACAGGGAGTGGGGCCTTTCCCCTTCTGGTGATGAATCTTGATTTCTGAAGATCACTGGGCTGCAGTAAGACAGATTTCTCACTGATTGCACCCTCACCCATTAAAGTGTAGGGTCATACCTCGTTCTGTGGTCAGCAAACAGCCCCCAGGTAGGATGGTGCATTGTGAAAGGCACGTGGGCAGCAGTGTGTGAGCTGGGAAGCTGCTGTCACCTCGTGTTTGTCAGCTGCTCCTTCAGTCCCCTCCAAAGCCACTTTTGAGGGTTTTTATTTTATTAGTGATCACAGACTGAACAGTACAAGATCTTTTGTGCCTGGACTTTAAGCAACCAGAGAGCTAATGGTCTGTTAAAAGAGGGAGTGGATACAGATGAAGGGATAAGGGAAGAACAGTGGTTTGTGTGGTGAGCACTTTTCTTAGCACATCAGCAACCTCACTGTGCTGCTACTTCTTTTCTCTTTCTACTCTTTTTTTCCATCATGAAAGAAAATTCTAAAAAACGTCATCAGCAATGAAGTGGCCTTGTGGATGTTATGGGGGATTAGTTCAAAGTTGTTAAATAGGAATGAGTATCCCAGGTAGGGGATTTTGAGATTTTATAAACAGGCTCTTCAGGCTGTTTATTTGCATTCACTGATGTTTGTAAGCCCTATGCAAGTACATGAATTATATTGCAATTATTTTTTTTTTGCTGGGAATCTTCTCACACAGTCTTATATCTTCATTAGAGTTGCCTGGCTGTAGAACAAACAGCTTCCCTGTCTATGCTGATAGAACACCAGTCTATTCCTTGAACTCAATCAATAATATCCATAATATAGTCTTAATACCTTAATAACTATACTGTCATAGTACTTAAAAAGATAATTGTGGGTTTTCATTGGAACATAATAAAGTCATGTTTTGCTTTGTCCAGGCCACTGATACATGAACTTTATTCTTGTTATCCTATGAAAGGCAATACAGGTTTTTAGCCACGTTCCTGTGTGTCAAGAGGTACCTTTGTCACTCCTTGGTCTACCAGAAAACACTGATGCACTTGGATAGAGCAGTAAGAAGCAGCACTTCAGAAAGCAGAGGACAACTTGCTCCACTCACACAAGGTAAGATCAGTAATGTTATTTTAATTGCTGTAAGGACCTGGACCCCCTTGCATTTCCAGGTAATTAGATACAGAAGAGAAGGTCAGTCTGACTACCTTGCAAATATCAGACAAGCAGGTACTGACAGACAAGAGAGACACAAGGGATTTTACTGACTTTTAGTGTTAAATCAGCTGCTTTTTTAGTAGTCAAAGGATAAAATTGGGGCAGGGAATTGAAGGCAGGTTTAAACAGTGAAATAGTGTTAAAAAGAACACACAGCTGGAGAGCAATGAAAATGCTCATCTAGCATCATTTTCCAAGGCCGAGTCCAACAGGATTAACATTAAACTTGTCCGTGGTGAGCTGGTGTCTGCAGGGTTGGTAACTCTCATTCTTGCTCTGAGGATGAAGCAGCAGAGGCCCCAGTGCTCTCAGAGCTGGGAACACCAGCCTCACACCAGCTGAGATGGATGGCTTTAGGGTGGTGTGTCCTGCCTGTTTATTTTGGACAAAACATGCCTGGTGTCTCTGAGGAAAGTCCTCTGTGTCACATCACTCCCCAAAACTTCAGATGGTTCTGAGCCCCCTCTCTCTCCTGGCCACTTCCCGGGGTCACTGTACAACTGTCTTCTAAATGAAAGGAACAATTCTGCACTCGTGTGAGATTTGGAGCATTTTTTGGCCTTGCACAAAGAAGGAGCAAAGGCCACCACTTCCCAGCTGGGCTGATCTGAGCTTGCTGAGGTCAGGCAGGCAATTAGGGCTGTCCCTAGAGGATTTTTGAACACCTCCCTGATTTTCCCTAAACTCTGCAATGACAAAACAACGCGGGCACTGGAGGACTCGCGTTAATGCCACCAGTGCCACCTACTGCTCACTATCTAAAGCACAGTCCGTGTGCATCAGTAACTGCTACAAACCATCGTCTTTTCCTCCTTTAAAATTTGTCTCGATGCCTATGAGCATTTCTAACATCCGTGTCTTATTTTTTTCCCTACAATTAATGTAGGGAACCCTTGAAACCCCAGTTCTGTTCAGAGCCAGCCAGTCCTGGACGGTTACCTCCTCATAAACTCCCACACTTGGAGTGTTTCTTCCCCTACCCACTTGCAGCCATGGAGACTGAAGCTGATTTTCCACCAAAAAAGCCTGTCTGAAGTGGTTCTTGTGGAGGGACTGTGGTGTGAAGACAATATCCACGGCTCACTTCCTGGAGTGTTGTACTGAGTTAGTTTTTACAAAAGGGTTTGATCTATTTAAACAGAAGTGGTTGGATCAAAGTGTGCAGAGCAGATGACATCCCAGGAGGTAACAGTTCCAAAAGGAGTTTCAGGTAGGGCAGAATGCACAGCATTGTCCTTGCATTGCTATCTCCAGACAACTACAGGAAATTTGGGGAAAACAATACACATTTTATATGTTTCTTTTCAAACTCAGCCTTGTTACTGTCCAGTATCCTTGCAAGCAAAATTGTCTCACTTCTGTGAGCTGAGAAAGAATTTAGTGAGGTAACAGCTGATGTCTGGCAGAGTTGCCACACAGTGAATAATGCATTACCAAAGGGCATCTCTGTAGTTAGTGATAAAAACAATAGGAGAACCTGGGTAGGCCAGACTCAAAAACAGCTTCACTGGTTTCCAGACTTCTGGAAAAGATTTGAATCAATGTTATATTTTAAAAACTACTCTTTTTTGTACATTTCCACCTTCCCACTTCAGCATGAGCTCTGTTCTTGGGAAAAAGGAGCAAACTGTGCAGTCACAGTCACAACCTTTCCCTGTCTCAGTGACAAAAATGACACATCATTGTAGTGTCAGCAGAGTGCCCTTTTCACCACTTGCACCTCACTGCACTTGACAAAAAGGACAGCTAATGGTTGTCCTTCTCAGTATCAGAATACAGCTTTTATCCTGAGTGTTTTGATTTTATTTTGTTGTTGGTGCACAGCTTTATGACCTCCTTTATGGCCATAAAGCTGGATAACTCTGGGTGCACCAGATATCCCACAGATATCCTTGCAGGCCATAAATATAATGAGCAGGGAGGGCTCTTTGCCCTCTAGCAATTAAGAGCATTTGCAAGGATGAAAGTTTCTGGACTGTCTGTTAACAGAGACAGCCTTTCCTAGGCACTTGATATGCTTTTCCCTCACTGATAACAAAAAGCAGGAATTTGGGATGCCTATGTGTGAAAAAAAAACCCTCTAAGATGGTCAGATTGGATAAAGTGAAATATACTTGAAATACAAATGAATACTATGAATGTTCATAGTGCTACTGAGCACTTTATATCAGTTAAAAAACCCCATGAGTTATCTCCAACCTGTGAAAGGTGAGTTATGTTCACCCAGTGATGGCCTTCCCAGTGTTTGTGAAATTATCTTGTGGTGTCTGATGACCCTTTCAAAATCATTCTCCGAGGTTTAAGGACTTAAACCATCTTCTGTCAAATTCAAAAAGTAAAAGAAATATTCTCTTACTACAAACAGAAGCTGGAAAAACGTGACACCC